AGCCCCCCGCCTACGCTGAGAAGGAGGCTGCTTCCGCCGGCGGCGCCACTCAAGCCCAGACTCCCATCACCCCTGCCAGCGCGGCTCCCGCCAGCGCTGGGCCCGCCGGTATCACCCGCACCGATACCAGCGGTACCGGCACTTTGCCCACCGTCAACACCACTGCAACTGCGGCTGGTGCCCAAGCTCCTTCCCCTACTGTGCAGAAGACCGCCTGAGCGGTCTGTGGATGTAGTCAGTCGGATTTTCCTTTTTGGATCGATGCACAGTCGACTGCTTTCTGTTTTCGCTCTGATTAAGCGGTGGATTCTGTTTGTTTCGCAAAGTAACCAAATCACTTGTGGCCTCTTCCGTTATCATGTGCCTCTGACCTCCGAGTCCCATATTTTCTCCTCATTTACCTTCAATTTGCCAGGAGGCGTAGCTTGATTGTACTGACTATAATCACCAAGCGGCAAGCCGCTGCTCTAAAACACGTTTCTCTAATGTATTGAACCTTGGATGCTAGTGCTATTGTTGCTAGTTTGGCTAATGAAAGCTGGATTGCGTTAGGCCACTATCGTGAGTGAGCGATACCCTGTTCCTGTGTACATGTACTGTAGTATTCCCTTCGTCGTGAACAGGACAGAAAGGTGAAAAGGGTTGTAATCAATTGATCCATGGACTTGATGGTATTTGAACAGTAGAAATAGCTATGGACGGAAGACGCTTCGAGGGCACAAGAAACAAATGGAAAGTGCGAATGAGAATACATATGCTTGAACCTATATGTCACGCAAAGCCCGATCTGTGTTCAAACGGTTGATGACAGTACCAGCAGATAGACGGGATGATGATGTTGGTGGTGATGGACGACGACGATGATATCATGAGCCCGCTCAGAGAGTATGAAAGAAGAATAGATAGATGGCTGGAGATTCAGGTCGAAGAGTCAGGTAGATAGCTTGCCAGACCAGATGTGAATTCCGAAATTGGTGAAGAGGTTTGAGCGAGCAGCTGGACTTCTGAAACACGGGTGATCTGAAAGACCATTAGGCGTATAGCGGCAGCAGCAGGACAGAAGGGAAGTAGGGGAAATGGGAACGGTGACAGGGCTCTAGAAGTCCTCCGGACTTTCTAGGTCTTCTAGCTTTTGGCTTAGGAACCGACCCAAGGCGGCGGATTTGGACTCTAGGGCGAGAAGGATCTCCGGCGCAGCGGAGAGGTTCAGCGTGGCCAAACGGGCAAGGTCGCTACTGCGGTCGATCTCGTATTGGGTCTCTAGGTGCGGGTCTGTTTGCGAGTCGCTTGTGTCACCGCCGCCCACGCCACCACCACCACCTGGAGCGCTGGCGCCGTTACTTCGGCCGCCCCCGGTGTTGGATGATACGACGCTGGCGTAGGTGCGGACATTGTGGGTGTTGTTGGAGGTGGAGTCGGGGGTGTTTGCGCCTGATGCATGGTGGTGGTGGTGGTGCGTGGAGCCGTTCGGGGTTGCGTGTGTGTGACCGTTTGTGGTGCTAGCGGATGCATCCTGGGCGCTGTTGCTGCCCAATTTGGAGGGTCCGATGGCGGCCAGGAGGACCTTGTCGGCTATTGGGGTGATGACGGCGACCGAGTCGTCGAGCTCAAAGACAATCGATCCGACGTCGCCGAGGGATACAGAGGGAGTGGTCACGTATGACGAAGGATGGCTGGCGGGGTTCACGCCGGTGAGGTTGCCCGTCGAGGCATTCTTTGCGTAACAGGTATAGGCTGCGCCGTAGGTGGCGCTTAGATTGCGGAGTTGGCGGGATGGCAGGTTCGAGGCGTAGGCGAAGATGGCGCCGTTGGTAGAAAAGACTCTGTCAAGTATGTGTGATTAGCAGATGTCTATTGGCGGTAAGTTTCTTGCAGTGGACGGATGTATGTACACACATTATCGACGTGATTTCGGGAGGTGAGAGGTTGTCTTCTAGCAGGTCACTTAGGGCCTCCGCATCTAACATCTTGATATCTGGAAGTCCGGGAATCATGGCGATTGTAATGTCCGTGGACGGCTCGTGGCAAGCTTCTGGTGCGGTGTTGCTGCTGCTACTGCTGATATGTTCCTCGATGACCCAGTCTTTCGGCGGGGACCAAGAACAGTCCTCCGGGAAGAAGAAGCAGTTGTCCCAGTAGTCGCGGTCGTTGTGGTCGTATTCTATCGGGTCCTCCGAGTATCCAAGGAGATCTTGAGCGTATTGAACTGGGCTTCGTTCCCAGTATGGACGGTACGGGGGTTCGGGGAGAGCGCTGGGTTTCTGACTAGGATAGTCCGGGCGGACTGGTTGCTTGAATTCAGCCATATTTTCTCTAGAGTAGTGATGGAACAGGATTGCTATTGGGGATGGATGTAACAGAAGGAGACGAAGTTGTTGTGCAAACCAAGTGCGCTATGGTTGTGGAGAGATAGATTCGATGTTTTGGGAAAGGCTCTGGGGGGTGTGGTACAAGTGATATGCGAGGGATACAAGATGCTCTGGTTCGCTCAAGGCTGACACTAGGCAAACAGCTCGTAGGCTCGCACTTTCTTTGCATATAGAACATCATGGTAGTCATAAGCAGCCGGTCGGTGCGCAATGACGTTCCAGAACCCGGGGAAGTGAGCCGCGGGGGGGGGGCGCATGTCTCAGGGAGGAATGACGGGCTCGGGTGCATGGCCAGCATAACAGGCAAACGCGAGAACACGAAGCAGCATCGTAGTAGGCAAGGCAAAGACAAGCGAGAAGTAAAAAAGAAAAAGGAAGAAAGTTTAGGGGCGTTGCTGTTCAGGTGGCCAACAAGCATGAGAAGCAACGTCTGCCGCGTATGCGATGATCATCTGGCAAAGGATGATCCTGAAGAGACGGGAGAAAGGAAATGAAGAGCAGAGCAGAGCCACAAACCTTATTGTGATGTATGTGATGAGTTCGCGCCAAGATAGGCAGAGGAATGCAAAGAGTGGTGCACCGCAATGGCTCGAGATTAAGTTGGAGAGATGTTGAGGAGGAAGAGGAGGAGGAGGTGATGGTGGAGAAGGTCGAAGCCGACAGACCGACCGACTAGAGAAGACGCTCAGCTACGGTCGTTTGGCCGGCAGAATCCTCCCTGACGTGGGGGGTGACTTTCCGCCTTTGGTCACCGCCTTGTCAGCTATCAAGAGAAGCTCGAAGAATACTTCACAGCCATGGGACAGTATCATGATTGCATTAGTCAATTGAGATCAGTTGTTGCAGTAAGCGTTGAATTTAGCAAGAATGACAATCTCTTAGCATTTTCTTCTCTTTGACCCGCTTCTCATTTGGAGATCTACGACCAACATCATTCAGAGTATCTAAGAATCACCTAACTACGGAGTACTTCGTAATTTGTTGACATTCTACACCCCCCAACTTTCACCAAGTTCCAAACTACTGGCTAAAACAGCTCTTCTGGAATTGCAGCTCTTCTGGAATTGAAGATATATACCCAGAGCTTGATCAGACCGTCTACTCATTCTCATGATTACTTATTGGATTCGCGATAGCTTCATAATTGGGTTCACTAATCATGGGAGTGGATTAATAAGATAGCGTCATACTACACCGTGGACCCCACCTTTTTTTTCGCGGGCTTCTCCTCATTACTTGAACGTTTATTTAACGGGTTTGTTAGTTCTTCTTGTCTACCCCTCTTCCTGAACTTCCTCCCCTCCATTCATGTTCTCCCTTCCATTCTTCCGCTCCTCTTTCTCCCGGGTCCTCATTCCTAAATTCCCCCTTGTGCCTGGTACGGATCTTCTCCATCCATCTCCGAAGCTTAAAGCTGGACTGTATCTGGACTGGCAGTTAACCCCACTTCCCCCAAGCTAATCATGCTTTGCAGGAACCAGTCGATCACTCGCAACCATGGCCACCGATACCTCCAAGTATAAGCTTCACCGTTAGTAATGGCCTGAGCGATCCTTATCTCACAGACGCATTGAAACAACAGACTAACCGACGGCATGGCGGTTGGAAAAAACCATAGACACCATGATTCGGGTCAAGGACCCGAAGAAATCCCGTACGTGGAATCGCCCTCCCTTCCTGGCAGCAAAGTGCATGGAGCAGGTCTTGGCTAACGAGCTCCTCTGTTTTTTCCCCCTCAACTAGTGGAATTCTATCAGTTCCTGGGTCTCAACCAGCTGCAACGGCTCGATTTTCCGGAGAACAAGTTCTCGCTGTATTTCCTGGGGTACAACGGACCGCAGTCGCTGCAGGGCGGGGGCAGCCACTTCACCGACCGGAACGGGGTGCTGGAGCTGACGCACAACCACGGCACGGAGGAGGACCCCAACTACAGCGTGGCGAACGGCAACACGGAGCCGCACCGGGGTTTTGGCCATATCGCCATCTCCGTCGACAACATCGAGCAGGCCTGCCGGCGGCTGGAGGAGGCCGGCTACGAGTTCCAGAAGAAGCTGACCGAGGGCCGCATGCGCCACATCGCCTTCGTCAAGGACCCCGATGGGTACTGGGTCGAGCTCATCCGCCGCCACGATGAGGACCGCGGCACCACCACCGACCCGGCCAGCTACCGCTTCAACCACACCATGCTCCGCGTCAAGGACGCCGAGGCCAGCCTCAAGTGGTACCAGGAGGTCCTGGGCCTGACCCTGCTGCGCACCAGCGAGAACGAGGCCGCCGGCTTCAACCTCTACTTCCTCGGCTACCCCGCCGCCAACCCAGAGCTCAAGAAGGACGCCAAGAACCCCGTCGCCGAGTGGGAGGGCCTCCTCGAGCTCACCTGGAACTACGGCACCGAGAAGCAGGAGGGCCAGGTCTACCACAACGGTAACACCGAGCCCCAGGGCTTCGGTCACATCTGTAAGGCAACCTCGTCCCTCAATTCTACTGGTGAATTTCTTGCTAATACTGGTTTGCTCCAAGGTGTCTCCGTTGATGATTTGAATGCCGCCTGTGACCGCTTCGAGAAGCTGAATGTCAACTGGAAGAAGCGTCTTACTGATGGTCGTATGCGGAATGTGGCTTTCGTCCTCGACCCGGATGGATACTGGGTTGAGGTGGTCCAGAACGAGGCACTTAAGCCTGCCGAAGTACCACTGGTGTAAATTAGCGTTGCCGCACCACCCCGGCGTCGGATCAATGTGTGCATTGATTCCTTCTGACTCGAACTGTATTTTGCGAGAAAAGCGGCTATGACATGGGAATATTGTGATATTAATATCTCACCAACGAATAGGTGACATAATCAGTAGTGAACTTCCTTGGGTCCATAATTTCATGAGGCCCATCAATGACCCAAGATATCAGCGCCGTTCTGATTATCGGCGGGTAAGCATGAGATCAATCATAGCTCAGCACTATCGATCTCCATCATCACGTCCCGCAGCCAAACCCCAGCAGATCTCTCCGCGGAGGTAGGCCAGGTCTCCGCCCCAACCGTCACAAGCGTAACTCTGCTCTCCCCGAACCCCTTCTCCCGACCCCAAAAACAGGCCCGCTGCATAACGTCCACCATATCGACCGCCTGTTGCGCCAGGACACGCTCCGAGTGGGTTTTGCGTCTAGCCGCAGTGGACTTTCGCTTCGCTAAGAGCTTCTGAACCGGGGCCGGGGCTCCTGGCTCCGTCTTCTCGAGGGCTTCACCGCGAGCAAATACCCTTACCCACGGTAGCGTCACTTCCAAGCGCTTGACTCCTCGGTTTGGGTGGTTCAACACCGCCGGACCGCTAATTCCGTAATCGAGTCCGTACGGCGGCCATCGCGAGACCGACTTTCTGCGACGGATGGCGCTCTGATTTGTTTCCTCGTCGTCCATATATTCTTCTTCAGCGATGGCAGCGGCAGCGGCAGCGGCGGCCTTCTCGCTGAGGTATGCCAGTATGGGCGACAGTGGGGGTGATGTGGCTGGACTCTCAGAGTGTGTTGATAATGCCGACATACTGCTGTCCGACAACGAGGGGTAATATTTGTAGATGCTTTCCTCAAAGATCTCCTGTGATGTCTTCGGCTGCAGAACGGGAATCGGGTACTCCGGTCCTGTCAGATACTCGGGGAATATACGGGGAACGTCTTTCCCCGCGGAACGGAGGAAGAGAATAGGAGAGGCGAAAGCATCGAAGTATCGTTCTGGGGCTGTGAAGTATGATCGTCGAGCTTTGAGAAGGGGGATCAAGTCGTGCGGGGCGGTGGGTGGCGTACTTGCTCTGGTCGCTGCGGTTCGCTTCTTCTGAGTTATGGCGTCAGCTGCCAGGGCTGCCGTCGACATCGGTGCCGGACTCGACTCTGTGGCATCAGGCATAGTAAGTAGACAATGCTCGTCGAGGCCAGTCCAGTCGCAGACTGGTTCGAGTGCTGCGACAGCGTGGACGGCTTGTGCTTCTGTAAGGGAAAGCATTATGGCTAGCGAGCCGCCGATGTGCGTGCCGATGACTCCGAGGCGCTTCGGCCGTAGGTATTGGTGAATCCAATCCAAGCCTGCGAGGGTGTCATGTACTGGGGTTGGATATTGATGAATAACCTTTTCTGGCGATGCTGGTCCCTCGCTGGTTGTTGCATCTGCCACAGAATTCGATACGGGCTTTTGTGCTTCTTGAGATGGGAACGGAGAATAGCCCAGCCGATAATTAATGGTTACTATAGTCGAGAGAGTGCTAGATGCGAGATCTTGCGCCAGCGACAAGCCGGTAGCGCTTTTCCCAGCGGAGACTGCGCCATGGTCACGTTGCTTAGCAGTTTCAGATGTCTCGCGATCAGCAATTCCAGGTTGCGTGAATAACGGTCCTGGAGGTAGATGAATGATCACACTCCCGTTCTGAAGCGGCAAGTCATCTGGATGAGCTATTCTGTGTCATAAGGTCAGCTTTCTGGGGAGGTTTGTTGGTGACATGGTTGGTGTTGACCTTACTGTAATGTAATCTGCCCATTATTCCCAACCGGGATATCAACGGCATAGTTGCTATACGTCGATGACGCGAGTTGCGCGCTTCTGCAGAGCGAACGGGTAGATCGAGGTCGCCACGCAAAGACGGCGGTGTAGCTCCTCACTGAGGCAAGCCCTGGCAGCGAGAATAGCAGGTGGCGCATAGCACCCTATGAGTAAATCTTATCAGGCGCAAGATGAAGGATGGAGTTGAGGATTGAATCAAGCATTGTTGATGGGGATTCGTTCGGCAGCCACAGGGAAGACACCAGACGCTAACCATTTTGGGAAGTGATCACAGGTCCGAGTTCATTTCCCAATTTGGAAGTCACCTTCATCCTCGCTCTATTCCCACCTGAGGTCAACAATTGAAGTCTCCATTCTGGATCTTCAGCGAGACCGACATCGTGCATTCATACTAGAGCTCTTTGCGACTGAGTTTCGATGGACTCGGAGCCAATTTGCTGACATACGTCAGCAAGGCAGCTGGTATCCCTGACGATGACGCTAAGAAGCAGCGAAGAATTGATTGGGAGGGTACTTATTATGAAACTGTGGCAAAGACAGAAATAGCCAGGCCTCCTTACATCGGCCTCAACTACTCCACCATGGTCTTATCCGACCATGATAGGCAATCTTGCCAAATCCCGTTCCTGCTACTGCATGAACAGATCGTCTGGTTCAGCCAATGATGTCAACGATATCCACCCCCGCCTGATTGATTGCCGGTGGCTTTATGAATGCCTGGACCGCGCGCCAACATGATTTCAACGTATTCCACCGTATATCGACTGAGGTGCAATTCTAGGGACCCAAAAAGACGGTAAGAAGACAGAGCCTGAAGAAAATATCTCGGTGACGATACAAGTGTCGGGAATTCAATACCGGCGGCCGCAGTGACATGGCAGGCGTACAGCCCGAAGCCTCTGCGAAACCAAACCAGGATGACCTTGTACCTGGCGTTCCAGATGAAGATCTGTGGTTATTGATCCGACGCTTCAATAAGGTACGCTTACTCACACCCATGGATCGTGCAGTGCCCAACTCATGACTTCAAGCAAATATATAATGTGCAAGCCACGTCTGAACCTCGTGCGGGTGACCTCGACCTCAATCCCGTCCAAGATGAACAATTTCCGCCAGAGAAAGTGCGAATTACACTGGAGAGGCTCTATGTCTCTGTTATTGTAGGGCTGATCACGTTGTACACTCATGTCGTCAGGTTGCGGTCGTGGAACGAGCCCCGACGTACCTCGGCCTTTTGTGCAGTACGTTGTCGATGCTTGAATCAACGCCCTATAGACTACTGACAGATTCAAGACCTACTTCGTCGCATGGTTTCGGGGTATTCTTGTTCCCACCATTTCTCTCTTTCTTGCTGCTTTGATTCTGTTTCCGTCACTCCGGCCCTTATTGTTTCCTAGTCTTACTCCTGAAGACAACGGGCCCAAGACCCAGCCACAGCAGGCCACAGACCAACCCAGCAAGCACAAGGGCGAAGCTGCGGAGCAAGAAGCCAATAGTCTCATGAACAGCATTGCTAAAATTGCAGTGAAAGCGGCGACGAGCAGACATGGCCAGGAAATTACTGGTGACAGTCTAGAAGAGACGCTTGCTTCAGACTCGACCACAGATGTCAATACCATCCCAGATGCTGCGGTGACGGGGGACGATACCAAAAGGTCCATGAGAAAGGCGGTCGCCAATGCAACCACCCAAGCGATGCGTGTAATCAGTGACGGCACCGACATTTACGAGATGTTCTCCAAGTACGAGGTCTGCACGCTGGCAATATGAGTACGTTCAAGCTAACCATCACGCAGCGTCCTTTCTCCGACGCCGCCCTTCACCTATGTGACGGCGCAGATCCAGCTAGTCGGTGTTCTTCTCTTGATCTGTCTGCTCACCTCCATCGTATCAAATGACTTCATTGTCAGAGCCAACAGCTTCACCCTCGGCTTTATCTTCTTTGGCGGTCCCATGCACCAGTACTCTATGAATTACCTTAATGAGAAATTCCCCGATTGGAAGAAATTCCTGGATCCACGAGAGTGCGTACACTATGCCGTGGAGAACATTTAATATTTATGATCAGACGTGCTAACCCAGAAATTATCCATTCAGAACCATTCTGAAGAACATCCCCACCAACGCTCAACTAACACTTACCCTACTCCGACTCTGCGAAACCAACAACACCCCGCTCCCCTCCCCACCATCCTCCCTACAACCCCACTCCAACAATCCCATACCATCATGGATAACCTACAAAGACAAGCTCAAGATCACAGCCACTGCTGCTGCTGCAGCTAGCTCAACCAGCCTCACCACAACCGCCACCGCTACCACCACCACATCCACATCCACCTCCGAGCCCTCCACCTCCAAGCGCAGGAGATTCCTCCCCCGCCTCCTCCGCATCCTCCGCACAACCATCACGCTCGCCACAAAGGGCCACTCCGCATTCAACCAAGCCATGGCAATCGCAGGCGCCACGCAGGGCACCAGACGCCTCCTCCTCACCATGCACCGCCGCAATTGGGAATGGGAGACCTCCGGCCCCGACACCTTTGACGCGAAATTCGAGCGTAAGCGCGGCACATTGGTCATCGACTCCTCCCCCTCCCCGTCCTCCTCATTCATCCCCCCAGAAAACGAGCCTTCAACCGCTCAGCTAGAAGAAGAAGAAAAGGGTGAGAGCTTAAATCCATCTCCGATCCTCTACTTCAGCACCCTCCACTCCGCCACCCTCGAGGACCGCCGACTCGAGCACCAGAAGAAAGGAACGGTCTTGTTCCAGATCCCCATCTCCCAAATCAGAGGTCTCCGCAAGACGGAAGGGCTGGGTTGGAAGGGGAAATTGATCGTGGAGTTGGCGGCGGGGAGCAAAGAGTCGGTGGATGGGTTGGTGATCTGCGGAGCCGAGGAAGGTCAGACGTATCATGTCACTGGGATGAAGGCGAGGGATCAGTTGTTCAATCGATTGGTGGCTATGGGGGGCCAGGCGTGGGAGAGGGCGTGAGCTCCTGGAAATGGTCTCTTTCGTCTGAGGGGGCATTTGGATATATTCCCTTTCATTGTCATTTGGCTGTTTATATGTTCTCATAGGAAATTACATGTGTGAAAACTTTTGCCAGACGTTCATGCATACATTATATGGACCTTCTTGGTTTTGTCGCTGGGAAATGAGCATCGTCTTGGCTGCAATGTATGGGTCGGTGATCGATTAGGAATTGATATGACAGGGATATATGTAGATGAATGGAGAAAAAGAGATCATTTGAATAAGCTGTGTAGAATGTATCTATTCTTGAGAGAAGTATTAAAGATCCGATAATTAAATCCAGGCCTCCCTTACTCTGCACTGAGCAAACGACCCAACGCCCACCTTCCAATGCCTTAAATACCAGACAGAATCCGAGGCTGTTTCTCCGAAGTCGCACTCACGGCCGGATCATCCATATCCAGACAAGCCTCCGTTTCATCCTCGGGGACAGGACGGAGAACCTCCAGCGACAGCTCCGAGTCCTTCGAGTAGACCCGCAAACCCACGACGCAGACGGCATTCCACGGATCCCCGTTCGCATCCACCTCGCTACTGCACGACAAAGTACGGGCCGGGGTCCTTGGCTCCGCGGCCGGCTCCTCCGGGGGCATATCGAGATCGGAATCGAACTCGAACCCCTCGAGGTACTTCAGATCGGGGTTGGGGGTGTGGACCGGAGCGCGCTTGTCGCGGATCGAGAGGGAGACCCGGCCCCTCGGGTGATCGTGGCCGTTGACAACATGAGAGCTGCTGACCTGGATCGTAGGGATCGAGCCGTTCTCTGTTGGGGTTGCCTTTGCCTTTGCTTGTGGGACATGGTCATGATCATGATCGGTACCAGCATCGTCGTCGGTGTGTCCCGCGGCGTCGGAACCCTTGCGGCAGGAGGCCCCCCGCGCCGCCTCCTCGGCGAGCCGCTGCTCGCGTCGGTGCCGTCGTGCGTCGCGCTTGCGGTCGCGGATCCACTGCTTCTGCAGTCGCGTCTTGGTCTCCTCGCGGAGCTTCCGTCGTTCGGCGGCGCGCTGTCGCTCTTCGCGCTCCTCGCGGGCTCGTCTCTCGTGCTCGGTCTCGGGCACGATGCCCTTCGCGTGGGCCAGGTCGTACGAGAGGCCGATCTGGACCAGCTTCTCCCGGCGGGTGGGCGCAAGGCTGCGCACCACGTCCTCGGTGGGCATCTTCTCGTTGTCGCGGTAGGCCGTGACTTTCATGAGGACATGGTAGCGGCCGGGCTCGAGGTCGACTTCCACGTTCACGCCGCGGTACATGAGATCGCTGCTGTGGCTGCGCACGAAATAGTCGTCCTCGCCTTCCCTTTGCAGCCGGAACTTGAGGACGAAGTCGTATTCACCGGCTAGTCCTTTGTAGTACCGGTCGTCGAGCTAGGAGTATAAGTCAGTGACCCATCACGTTGTGAAGAAGAGCACAGAACCATGCGTGTCATACCTGCGAGAGAACGATCACTACAGGTCCACCTTTGCTCACGTTGATGATGAACTTGGTGTTGTGATAGTCGGCGGACCAGGGAACATTTAGTGTGGTCCATTGTTGGGTAACTGTCCAGTCATCGTTAAAGAGGCGAGTTCGGTCGAAGTGCTGGTACTTCTTGAGAAGGTCGTCATATGAGATCCAGAAGAACTGCAATTTCGTCAGCATGCTACGCTGTCTCGGTGCTGGAATTGCATTCGAGAAGCCTACCCCATCGTTGCCAAACTTATGCCCTAACTTCGCCATCCACTCGGGTGTCCATTGTTCAGAGCCGTCGCTCCAAGCGCCATTCCATTCCTTCTTGCCCCATGGGTTTCTAGCTTTGAATTAGCATTCTCGCTTGCAAATAAGGCATTCGTAGCTCCTCCTACCTTAGTCGCAGCAAGCGTTGTCCGTCGATTTCCCGCGCCTCCATGATGGAATAGGAGTGATTCTCCGAAATCCCCTTTCTGTCTCTGGGAGGCCCTCGGTAGCCCGGGTCCAGCCAGTTGGAGAACAGACCGCAGCCACAGCCGAAGAGGAACTCCTTGTTGACCTTCATGAGCTCCTCATTCCAGAACCGGTCTTTGTCTAAGATGTTACTCGAGAGTAAATCTGAAGTGACCCCACCAGTCAGGTCTTCAAGGGCCTCGCTGTGATGCGGATGACATTAGTAACTGCACGCCAGGCAGAATGTATATGTGTCTTACCCTACAAATCCACCCTCAATTGCAGAGTAGTCACCATGGGCCTTGGCGTAGGCTTTCTCGAGCAAGGGCAGCCATGTCTCGTTCTCATCCACGCACTGAGCAAAGTACAAAGCTCGAGAACCCGTCTGCCAGGCTTTGCGGTATTCTTCTTCGGTGTCTTTCCTGTTGATGTCGTCCCAAATTGGCCGCTCATCCACGGATTCGTCATAATCGGCTGCCCGCAGATACAGCTTATCGTCCACAATACATTGCTGCCAGTCTCCATCTACAAGATGTCAGTATGTCTTCAAATCTGCCAAGCCGGATCGCCTCACCTCTGTAGAACACAAATCCGTATACGCCAACCTTCTCATTTCGAGCAACACAAACATCTTCGATCAGTCCAGGCTTGTTGCCCATCGTACACAAGGCAGCCATCAGCCAACAGTCACCGTCGCGCCCCTGGCGTACATCAGAGGCAGTAGGTCCGTTGACGTAGAACTGCGGTTTCTCAAAGATTTCCTAATGATGGGAATGCTGATGAGTATGGCTCGACTGACCACTCCACGTTTGCCCGCCAGTACCTTAAAACTCACCGTTACCCTCTTCACGCCTCTTGGCCGCAACTCCAAGTTTTGGTCCATCAGTCCATCAAGATAGTTCCTCCTTCCGCGCTTGAGATCTGCGGCGATATCGAAATGCGGATCAGAGTACTTCTGATTCAGCCGCTCGCATTCCCTGGCGATGCGCTCAACTGAACGTTGACACTCCTTCCGTGCTTGTTCGTAGGACTTTCCGGCCACCTGCGCTTGGATCACCCCCTTGGGTGTCCTCGCGGCCTTCGTGCGCGCATACGGATTGTCCGGCAATACGGTGTTGACCAGCCCCGGAAATTTGGAGTTGAAGTCGCTCCAGAATTGCTTGACAGTTTCCTGGGGCGGTTGGTTGGTCTTCGTTCGCATCCTGCTCCCGGAGCGTGACGAGAGCGGGGGAGTATATGCCATATCGGTATGGTCTTCACAATCCATGGGCGCAGTAGATCATCAACAAATCTGTTTTACAAGAGCAAGAACGGGTCCAATGCATGGATCACTCAAGGGGGTGTTTGGAGGTGAAACAGTTCCCCAGAACCGGTGGCCGGCCGAACTCTTATAAACAAACCCCATATGGGCCCAAGCCCGCTGGTCGCTGTTGCCCATATCAATTTGAATCCACGAGGTTCTCCACACAGCCTCAGGCCGGAAATGCGTAAGGCAGGCCAAGCATGATTGGAACTTTCTCTTGCATGACAGGGGAAGAGAGCCGGTCGAATGGTTCGAGGCCAGGTCCGAGCGCTTACTTACCAAGCGCTCGTATTGCTGAACCACGCGCACCCGGCCTTCTAAAATTAATGGCCACTGATAAGGCCGAAGGGGAGCTCAATAGCAGAGCCGCCGATCGTTTCACATTGGTTTTTTTTCGGCCCCCAGTAAGCACGGCAGAAAGTAAAACGACGCAACTTGCATCTTGACGTGCCAATGTAAAACGTGGGACATTAAGCATAAGATGCTGACGGAAGGGGAGAAATGAAAGATTTTCAGCTCGTGATGGCCCGGTGTCCGGGTTGTGGTTCTGGTGGTTAAGGACAGAAACGGTCATTAGTCCGGGTAGCGTGCATGAATGGGTGGGCTTGGTGCATCTCGCTTGCAAGCGCTGATCCTTTCGGAGCTGCCGGATGGAGCCATGGACAAGGACGAAATAATGCAAGATGTGTTCATCGTAAGCTGGAATCTTGAACGCAAGAGAAATGAAAGGATTCCGATTGGGTCGATGGCGAAGAGGGGTTGACATTCTGGCTGAGCCTCCTCAGTAACCGGGCTGATACGAGGAAGCAATACTCCGTAGTTATACGGAGTACACCTGCACACTCAGCCTTCTGCGGCTGAATCTCACGGCTCTTTTCGTTTCGGCTGAGTTTTTGACCGCCTCTTTCCATGATTTCACTTCATTAGAAGAAGTACCTTGGAGGAATACTTTTCGGTGTCGCAAGCAAGCCACGATCTGTAAATTAGCTGCAAGTGCAAGCATCCTCTTTGCACCCATGCAGGAGATCAAAGCCACATGTTTATCACCTCGGATAGCACCGCAGAGTGTGTGACACAGTAGGGGCTCAGACTGAGATCTTTAAATAGGGAAAGTCGAAACACCGAGATGGGCGGTGAGTGCGCAGCCTGGCCACCAAGGCCGCAGGGCCGCCGTTATTTATCGACTTAGCTGACATTGCTGCTAAAGAATCGAGTACCAGCCAGTTTATACTCTTCTTGTCCTCTTCCTCCTTACTTATCTAAGAATCATATATTGCACTAATTGTCAGTTACTTACCATTAGTCTGTTCCTGTGAAGCTAATAACATATTCTGTTGATATTCCTCCACAACTGAAAACCCTTCTGGAACAATCCTAGTTCAACTTTTGCGAGTCCTGCATCTCCAAGCTTGGGTGAGCTAGGGCCGACGGCGGTTCAGGCTCCTTATATAAGGCTCGGTCCGTTCCCATACAGGCCGATTGCTGGTTGTTGAGGAAGGACTGAAGATTAATTTAAGATATTTCTGAGCTGGGCTATGCTGGGATTGGACTCGATATATAGACAGTCTAGGGGTTTCGGAACAGCCTCTGCCGGCGTAATTTCTGGCTTCTGGGCTCTGGAAGTCGTGCCCCGCGCTCCAGTTGAACAGGAACAGGGCTGTGCATAGTGCCGAGAATGAATAAGGCTTAAAGAACAGTAGATAATCTTTATCTGGGATGTTGCTGTCTGATGTGCTTTTGCACTGGGCCGTTCGCTATCTGATAGGATGGTTTTAGCCGGGCTATCTATTAATACAGTATCTAGAGAATACTCACCGGATACAGCAAAGCATAAGGGATATTTATGCCATATTATAAACAAGATCTGTCCCAGCCACCCGTTGGCGCTAGTAATAGGAATGATGAAGGGGTCTTCGATCGGCTCCGATGACGATAAGTTGACCATATAGGCATAAAGCTTGTCTGAAGAGAAATTGTAGTTGAAAAACTTGTGGAGGTTCTTGAGGAAGCGCGTATATGCAATTCGAATATCACAGCGTGGATTTTCAAAGTACAGCGACAGTGGGCGGATAATCTGGGATATAGTATTTTCACGCTGTAGAAGCACCTCAAGCCTATTAAAGCTGATTGTTATTCGGGGATTTTTGTATTTTTGGAGTCTAGGATAGTGGTTCTTAATCGGCTCACATAGCGTAGTTATGTCGGCCAGTCCAGCCAGCTGGGCCAGCCCTACTCTGATATTAATACCGCGACGTCGGCAATTGTCATAATGGTCGGCCTTGATCTTTTAAGTATATAGGGATAGATGATGAATGGTATTTTTTTTGTCCAGGGCGGCAGCATCCCGAGTAAATTCGGGCAGTTTGTTAATCCGGCACAGAATCTCGCGGCGGAGTTTACTCTGATTGATCTTTTGGATTAGTTTTCTGAAGAGCAGTTGACTCTCGGCTAAAATAGAAAGCAGTTTTTTATCTAGTTCAACCCAGGCAACTGCAGTGCCCCCTGGTAGGGCTTTGACATAGTCGGTCTGGGTGACCCTCTTTCCTATTATAAATCAGAGGTGCGGCGACAAATTACCGGGGCGACCGGCTGTAGTACTGTACTTAGGCCTAGTGCGGCAGATGCTTCTCTGTCGGTCTAGTAAGCAAGTCAGCTGATGGGGCGGAGGGGAGGGGGGAGAATACAAACTATAGACTGGCGCTGCGGTGTTTTGCAGCTTGGAAATAGAAAAGATTAGTAGTTGTAAGACTGTAGTGATAGAACAGTACCAAGTATAGGATGGTTGGTGGGTCAAGTTGTCATGGGGCACCTGCATTGTCTTAGCGCGGTTAGAGTCAGCTGACAAGCTGACTGAGCGGAGTTAATCAGAGCTTTGATTTTCTCGGAGAATGTGGTTTGTACAGTTTGCACCAAGGCTTGCCGTGCCGCTTCCAACCTGCATAGAATACCCCACCTTTAGATCCCGCCGGAGAGCGTCAAAACCGAAACTGTAGTCGGGTTCAAGATGTTTGTTGTTCGTGGTAGAGTGGTAGAATGGTGAAGTAGAGAGACGACAGGGAGGGAGGAAAGGCAGTCGAGGAAGGGAAGGGAGAGACCACCCCGTGCCATTATCGGCTGGGGTAGTTGAGCACAACCTCCGCCCTCTCTCCCTCTGAACCACGGAGTACTCAGACACATCTTGATGATCGATGAAACAAGGAACAACTTCATTCATTCATTGTCACTGCTGCTATAGAATGACCTCCTTTCTTTTTCTCCATTTACTCAATTATGGGTATGTACGCGTTAGTCAAAAATACTCCTTGCGATATCCAGTAACCTATTCTCGTTCCTGCCAGATCACTCCACAAACAACGCCATTGTAACAGAAGCAGAAAACGATGATGAGAAATGTTAGGAAAGAGCGGACTGTAGCAGCGACGCGGACAGGACTCAGCCTTGAGGGGGATAGATGCAGAAGCCGCGGTGCTGTCCATGCCACTGTGCGTCATGGCACCTGCCACCGTCGTCCGCATTACATACATGCCTTTAAACATGGTCGTGTTAACGTGCGGGCACGGTTGATTTAGTGGAACCCGTTTCTTGTCGTTGTCCGGGTGCGACCGGAGTAATATGAGCTGCCATTGGCGAAGTAGGGGTGCATGCAAGCCTGCTTGGCGGAGATACGCCGAGCAGGATCGTACTCGAGGAAGGCATCGAGAAGGTCCAGGCCATCCTCCTCGAGTCCAGGGACCAGAGCACGGCTTTCGTCACGCTTCCATTTGGGGAACGTGGCTTTGAAGTCGGGGAACGAGGTGACTCCGGGCCAAGCGGCCTCGTCAGGAGTACCGAGAAGACTGTTGCAAAGGAGATGGTAAGCAACTGAGCTACGTCATTAGGTCCTGTTTTTGAGAGGGGTAGACATACCGGAAGATCTTGAAGATCTCGTCGATCTCCGAGTCACCAGGGAACAACGGCTTACGAGTGCACATCTCCGCAAAGATGGCACCGCAGGACCACATATCAACACCAGTGGAGTATTGGCGTCCGCCCAGAAGGATCTCAGGGGAGCGGTACCACAGAGTCACAACCTGATCAAGAGAAAGGTCAAGGTTAGAAAGTCAAAGCATGACATATCCGGAGGATCATGAAATACCTCATGTGTGTAGGTTCTGAGAGGAACACCAAACGCCCGAGCCAGACCGAAATCAGCCAGCTTGAGGTTTCCGTCGCGGTCAATCAACAGGTTCTGAGGCTTGAGGTCACGGTGCAGGATGCGGTGGCTGTGGCAGTAGCGAATGCCTTCCACCAGCTGAGCCATGAACTTCTTGACCATGGCATCGCCCAGTCCCATGTTCTTGCTCAGCGCAGAACCTTCCGGCAGGGCCTTCCCACGTCCACCCTCGCTCACAGGAAGAGCCTCCATGTATTTCTTCAGGTCAAGGTCGAGGAACTCGAAGACGAGGTAGAGCTTGTGGCCGTCGGCGTGCACGATGTTCAGCAGTCGGACAATGTTGGGGTCGTTCATCTCCTTCAGCAGGGAGATCTCCCGGATAGCAGTGCTGGGAACACCTTCATCCTCGGCCTCTAATCGGATCTTCTTCAGGGCGACGATTCGGTTGGGATGAGTGAGCTCACGGGCTTTGTAAACGACACCGTAGGTTCCTGCATTGCACAACCAGAAATATTAGACATTTTCCCAGTGAGGGTGCTCTTGCACCAAAGTAGGAAGTTCAGGTTGCAGATGTAAGATTGAGGACATCTTAGGGGGGCCACATACCCTCTCCAATTTTCTCGATCTTCTGATAGTTCTCCATTGTTGGCAGTAGATTGACCCGTTGAGGAAAACTGGTTTCCCACACACAGTGAATCTATAACGATATTTTCGAAACCCAAGAGATGAGACACCGTCAAGCTGTGGTCAAGCCCACCGACACGCAGGGTACAGGAAACAAGAGTGTGTGTGCACTGCACTGCGACGGCGTTCCTGTTGCCGGGGGAGGGAAGAAAGAGAAAACAATGGTTGGCGTCAAGCAACGGCGAGGAGGGAGGAGAAGGGCCTCTCGAGGTGCACGGGCTGAAAGGAAATAGGAAGAAAGGAGCCAATCTGGGAGTCGAGGGGAGAATTGGTTTGGCCTGGAACTTCAATCGAATGTCGATTTACTTACCTACTTACCCTGGAACTTACCTTTACCTGTTGGAGTAGCGAGGAACTGAATCGACTGAACTGTCGTCTTTTCATTCATCCCTGCTGGTGGGGAGCCAAAGGCGGTCAGTAGCCGCCGTACACAAACAAACCCAAAAATCCGCGCGTGGCCCCGAAGGCGGTGAGCGCGTCCCCAGTTGATTCCCGCCCTGAACTTTTTTTGGGGGAGACGGTTTGAATCTTTGCCTAGTATGCTCTTTGCTACTCTTTTTCGTTGAATGGATTCGGATCTTTCTTTGCGGAAACAACAGACTTGTCCTCTACGCGACCTTGGTTCGCTATTTTCGGCATTTATGACTGCATGAACCATCGATTTGCATTTCCGAAGAGCGATCTGAACTGTCATAGCAGCACCCATGCAATAGTGCGGCCTTGCAGATCCTCAAGAAACTAACTTCGTGACGCAGTCCAGTTATAAGTCAAAAGAGATCGCGCGAGGAAGGGGACAAAAACACAGGGACGAATGAGAAAACAAAGTCAGAAAAAAAAGACATGGCACAAATAAAGGACCTGAATGCTCACGAGCGACCTCCGGAGGCTGTCAAGCAACGCTACAAGCAATACCAAAAGTCCACGCTCACAGACATAAACTCGGATGGTAGCATTCTGGATCTTCAGGCGCTAGATGCTGGCCGGCTGCCGGAAGATGTTTCAGTCACGCATTGGATCTCCGGCAAGGATCTTCGGCCTGTATTCGATGAATTTCTGGGGACAAGCAAGGATGGTGCGGAGGGATCCCTGAATGCGAAAGATATCCCTGTCTTCTCTCATCGCTCTGTGACCGGTCAGCATTATACACCACCATCTAGCGCTTTTTTTTCTGTTTCCCTCCCTTTGTTTTTTTCCTTCCTCTGGCTACTCAGTAGGACAGGAAAGAAGGGGAGGGAGAAAGAAGATTCCCTCAAAAGCATACATTGTAGAAACGAAGAAAAGAACAATCCTGGTCTCCTAACAGGCACATGTAGGTCTCCAAATGATCCCCTCCCTCCTCCCACCGGCCGTACAAATAGAACTCCTCTCGCGGCTCTTCCACCGAGACCTATCCAACCCAAGACACAAGACCAACCTCCACCTGCACTACGAGCTCACGTACCCCAGCGCTGAGGATGCAGCAGCAGCAGCAGCAGCGGCCTCGACGACGGAGTCCAGCGTAGTAGACCCCGGGCCCCCTCCCCCACCCTCCTTCTTTGCCGACGACCCAGCGCGAGCCATCCACCCGAAAGACCCCAGCGTGCACAAGCCACTCACCGTGCAGGGCATCCTCAACAAGAAACTGCGATGGGTGACGCTGGGCGGCCAGTACGACTGGACCGCCAAGGTGTATCCGGCCGAGCGGCCGCCGGCGTTCCCGCCGGACATCGCGAAGCTGCTGCACACCATGTTCCCGGCGACGGAGGCGCAGGCGGCGATCCTGAACGTGTATTCGCCCGGCGATACGCTCAGCGCCCACCGCGACGTCAGCGAGGAGTGCGATGCCGGCCTGATCAGTATCAGTTTCGGCTGCGACGGCTTGTTCCTGATCGGCCATGATGATGGCGCCGGCTGCGAGATCGTCCGGCTGCGCTCCGGCGATGCGGTGTACATGGACGGCACGTCCAGGTTCGCCTGGCATGCCGTGCCCAAGATCGTGCCGGGGACGTGTCCCGCCTGGCTCGCGGAGTGGCCTGGCGCGCCGGATGGTTCGGATGCCACCACTCAGTATGAGACGTGGAAGGGATGGATGGAGGGCAAACGAGTCAATCTGAATGTTCGGCAGATGAGCCTCTCGGAGCCTCGTCCATGATGGCGGCGATGAGATGCGAGGAAGTCTGCTCGGTTCATGACACATGGCGTATGTTGCATGTGCTGGTCCGCAGATTATGCAGTTGTGGCGGCTGGTGAGCCCAGTCCAAGTTGACAAGTATGCACGTCACACAAAACCCTACCGTGGGCTTGCATACCTCTGCCTCGAGGAGTGCTCATAGCGGGCTCGACCGAATGCATTCCCAACGCATTGGAAATACTCTCATCATTCCGTCTCCGAAGGGGCGGTCCATTCGCATTCGCTCTTGCCCTTGTCCAAGCAAATCACAAATAAAGCAGACAATAAACCACAGGCGGAAGACCCCAGGGACAGTATCTGCAGATACTTCAACAATGTACAGCCGATTGAAGCCTGTCAGGCGATCATCGCTTGCAGCTTATACATATTCAGACAGCACATGGCATTTTCTCATCCTGTACATAGAAGCTTAAGTCTTCAAAGCAAACAGTCTAACCTAATTAGTAGCAACGAGATTAAAGGTAACATAAGTAAATACAAGAATTTTTTCGCAATCGGTTTCGGCGCCTACCACCCCTCCAAAGGTGTCAATTTGACCCGCACCCCGTCCCGCGGACTCACAGTCGCACCCTCGCGGAGCTCGAGCTCAGCGTCCGGATTCTCCAACTCAAACTTGAAACGACCGACGAAGGCGGCAAGCATACATGCCAACTCGGATTTCGCGAAGCCCTGCCCAATACAACTCCGGGGCCCATGCAGGAACGTCAAGAAGGCGTAGTTACTGGTGGCCCCGCCGGTATTGGCCATCCCGGGTCCCAGCCAGCGCTCGGGGTTGAATTTATCGGCGTCTGAGCCCCACAGTTCCTTGAGGTGGTTGATTATCGCGGGGAACAGGAAAATGAGCGTGCCTTTGGGAATGGACTGGCCGACGAGAGAGGTGTCACGGTTCGCCACGCGGATGGTCACCGGGGCGGAGGGATGGAAGCGGAACACCTCGTTGCAGATGGCGTGCAAGTAGGGCAGATTGTCGAGGACCTCGGCTGAGACAGACTCTGGATTCTCGACGGAGATGGAGGGTAGGTTGGCGCGGATCTCTTCTCGGAGGCGGGTTTGCACGTCCGGGTACTTGCACAGTGCGTAGACGCACCACTGGAGGGCGGTCGAGGTGGTTTCGTGGCCGGCCGCGAGGAAGGTCATCATTTGGTCGACCAGCTCCTCATCTGTAAAGCTGCCGCTCTCGAGTGCTACGGACATAATATCGACCCCGTCCTTCGCGTTGCTGGCTTGCTCGTGGTCCCGCAGGTCCTTCGCCTCACGGAGCATCTGCAGTGCGACAGCGCGGATATACTCAGCCCCCTCGCGGATATACTTGTTCCTCTTCAAGGGCAGTTTGTGGACCCATGTCGGTACTCCCATCACGAGGCCCAGAAGGAAAAGACCCAGCTCCAGTTTGGACGGCGGCGCACCGTTAATCCTACCGTACTGTCTGGCCAGCTCATTGGTGGGATCGCGCAGGGAGTTGAAGTCGCGGTTCATTCCGGCAAGACCGATGATATCGAGTGTGGCTCGACTTGACCAGGTTGCCACGCGAATAACGTTGTCCGAAGTATCATCCTCACGCGCTCGTAGATCATCTTCGATGCATTGCACCATCTCTATGCTTTTCGACCAGAAGATCGGATACAGGTTCTTAATATGACGGTAGGAAAAAGCCGGCATCAGATTCTTTCTTTGGTGCTGTTTTCAGTCAGCTGGGAAAGGACATGTGATTTCTGCTCTTGTTGTGACACTTGCCTTGTGCTCGGCACCTTCTACCAACAGCACCCCCTTTTGGCCGGTGAGGCGTCCCAGAGACTCCCGTACTAAGGCTGGTTTCTCGAAGTCATAGACCTTGGTCACCAAAATCTCACTCAGTCCCTTGGGGCTGGTCACGATCAACCGCTCCAAGTTGCCAGTCATATAGTAGCGGATCAGACCATCATTTGGGATTTCTTCTACCCATTTAGCCAGTCGCTTCCAGTCATGCCTCAGAATCAGAGTGCTAGAATTGCCACGAAGCCATGATCGGCCCTAGTGAAATATGTGAGACCGTGTTCCATTTGATGAGAGTATACACACGGAAATGCTGAGACACACTCACGGACGGGCTCGGAATCTGCTTCAGAGGTGTCAAGAACTCCGGATAGATAAATACTCGGTACACAATTCTGCCAATTGTGGCCAAGGCAGACAGGTAGAAAAATGTTGGCCACGTCGCTTTCAAGTAGGCATATGCAGCAAAGGCGATGTAGACCGGTGTCCATGGTATGCCAGCCATTCTGCCAAGAATGCTGGAGGAATGGCTTTGTCCAGTTGCTGAAGCAGGTGATTCAGTACCAGATGAGTTGGGAGACTTTTAGTTGTATAGAACGTTGTGAAAGGCCAACTAGTGGTAGCGTTGCGCTGTTTGACGAGTGTCAGATATAAGTATCACGGTGATCAGTGAGAACGGCTATTTATAACATGGCATCGATGGAGAGACACCCGGTCGGATTGACATCCTTTCAGAAATGATTGGGCGAAATAAGAGCCGAGTCATGCACGGGTATGAAAAGGAAGCCTGATCGATGACCCGCGCGGTTTCAAGGGGTAGTTGTAGACTCCGGGGCCGACTCCCAACTCCCAAGTCTATCTAGAGTGGATCACCAGGATTTCAGGCTGTGACCTCATCGGGATTCGGCGATAAAATGCCAGGTGATAACTTATCGGTTTGAGAAACATTGGGCGTCTTATTGGTCAACCACCACGTGGGGGTGGAGACCTCGTCGGACCTCGCAGGAGCCCGCACAGCTTACTGAAATAGGAAGGCTCTATTAGTAGCCTGGAGGTGAGTCGAGTCGAGTCCCGCCCGGCCCGGCCATGGTCAGGTCACGGGCTGGGTTGGGGGCCGACTCTATTGAATGTCAGTCAATAAGTACTGTACTAGGTAGTAACTCCTTACCACCACTGCAGTAACTTACACTTCATTCTGTGGTCTCAACCGTAGTCAGCTCTTCCTCTTCCCACTTCCTCCCTGTTCATCAGTTGAACGAACATGAGAGACTTCACTCATCCTCCCACACTTCTTATTGGGTGAATTGCTCCCTCCGATCCCGACCGAGCGCCCCAGTCATGACCCTGCCTATAGACTGTTATGACATATCGGGTTAGTGGGCAGTGTGTTCGACACCATCAGGCACGAGATGCGTTGTGAGGATGATCCAACACAGCACATACGAGAGTCTTCAAATTTTATCACTCAAGTCAGATGAGCGCCTTGTGTCCTACCAACAATCCATCAATCTGTGTGCATGCTCCAGTTCCAGTCTCGCGGGTCCCTGGGCTAGATTGGGTCCAAAGACAATTGTCTAGCAACTCCGTGCTAGGGTGGACTATATGAAGCAAATTCGTATGGATGGGATGGAAGCTTGCGGAGGGCGACAAAATAAGTTACGAAGCCATATCCTTGTTCAAGCTGGCGCCTCGGAAATCTGTTCTGCCTCCTTCGTCCTCCGCCAAATCACAGCTGTCGGATTCATCGATTCGCAATCCAGCGCAGAGCACAATTCTTGCTACACCATCTAACAGGTTTGAACTGCATGATAGCTTAATCAATGATACGACAAGAGTGACACAATGGATTATCAATCAGGCCATACCCCACCAACCAGCCGAGGTTGGCCAATTGTCCCGCTATCGTCATTGATTTACCCCTCCCGCTCCAGTCTTGATTTATAAGTCGAGAATCGCCCTCTCCTCCCCACTACTCTCAACACCCAAACCTGACACCTGTCAAAATACTGCTACCACAATGCCTCAACCGAATAAAGCCATCATTTTCAGCAAAATCCCCAGTGGGGCGCCTGTCCCGGGTACTGATCTCACCGTGGAACAACGGGAGATTGACCTCGACCAGCAGCTGCCTCCGGACAGCGTCCTCACCAAGAACCTTTACGCCAGTCTGGATCCCTACATGCGCGGTCGGATGCGTGACCCAAGCATCAAGAGCTACAGCCCGCCTTACCAGGTTGGCGAGCCGATTACCGCCTACAGCATCGGACAAGTGATCCGATCGGAGAACCCCAAATACAAAAAGGGTGATATTATCTGGTGTATCCTCAAGATCGAGGAGTACAGTGTTGTCACTAAGGAGCAGCTGGCATGGCCCCAGACCGAGAAGATCGATGTTAAGCCTGGACTGTCGCTGTCGCATTACGCCGGAATCCTTGGAATGACGGGTCTGACGGCTTATTCCAGTCTGTATGAGATCGGGCAGCCTAAGAAGGGCGAGACCATCTTTATCTCCTCTGCTGCCGGCGCGGTGGGACAGGTGGTCGGCCAGCTGGCGAAACATGAGGGATTGAAGGTGATTGGCAGCGTCGGTGATGATGATAAGCTGCGGTATATCACTGAGGAGCTGGGCTTCGACGCGGGGTTCAATTATAAGAAAGAGAAGCCCGGCGACGCCCTGGCTCGACTAGCACCGAACGGAATTGACATTTACTACGAGAATGTTGGTGGCGAGCATCTGGAAGCGGCCCTCACTGCCATGAACACCTTCGGCAGGATTAGTATGGCCCCCTCCCACCTTCTAGGTCCCTTCGCTGACACGTCATTCAGTCGCTTGCGGCATGGTATCGCAGTACAACTTGAAACCCAACGAGCTATATGGAGTCAAGACCCTGATGAACGTGGTCGGAAAGAGAATCAGGATGCAGGGATTCATCGTCGGAGACGAGAATATGGGCCCGAAGTATGCGAAGGAGAGAAACGAGCGGGTGTCTGCGGTAAGTGACTTGACTGGCCCAGGAGGACCCATTCTGACCCCGGCTATGCTACAGTGGCTACTCGACGGCAGTATCAAGACGAAGGAAGACATCACCACTGGAATTGAGAACGGACCCGAAGCCCTAGTCTCGATGCTTCGTGGCGGGAACCGCGGAAAGGCTATTTTGAAGATCGCTGACCCTGAGTGAACTACACAAGACGAGAGAGTATCTATGCTCCAAGCTCACGCTGTCTGATCACTCCCGACCATCATATATCTTGTCTCTAGTACCGAGTACAAATGAGTCTCAAATATGGAGATCTTGCCGTATCCCGCCAACATGACTCAAATTCGGAGTCCTATGGTTACCTCATTGCGCCGTCATCCGCCGTAGTTCTATCCGAGAAGTCCCCATCAGAGCAATGATATACACTACTTAAAAAGCGCATAGCTCAACCATCACCTATCCACCTCCTTCTTCCCCTTCCCCTGCACGTGCCCAGCGCGATGGGTGGAACCACCATCCCCGCCAAGCGAGGCGCTAAAACTGGATCCGACGGCCCGGCCAAACCTTATCCGCCCCCGTGCGTTACACAACCGATCGCTGCACGTTCGTAGCCGTGGGCTGTGGGCCCCGCCCACTTTTGCTGACTCCCCAGGGGGGGAGAGGGGGAGGCATAAGAGGCTTCGAAGCAAGGCCCAATCTACCCCCTTTCCTGTCAGAATGTGGCTCTTGAGATCCAACGGGCACCACTAGGTCTCTTCGAGTCGTCTGAAGGGGAAAAGGCTCGCCCGCCTGGGGCACTGAGACTGGGATTTTCAGTGCCCTGCTCCTTGGATTTGTCTCAGGGGGTTTCATGCGTGGAGGGTCTCTTGGGATTGTAATGGGCTCTTACTCCGTGAGTGCAGATGTGAGGGCTTGCTTCTGGCTTTGGCGTGGTATCTGCTGAATTGCCGGAATGCGGACGGTCGAGTTGTTCTTGGTGAGTCCAAATTGAGGGCAAAGTCACGGTTGGACTCAGTTACCATTTGAAAGTACTCGGGTGAGTATTTGGCTAGGATATGTCTTGTGATAAGACACGATGTAACTTATGGTCCTCCTCTCTCCTAAACTTGTTCTTCGAGAGATGCGCTGAGTGGCTTATACCCTGTTGTCTCAGTGTCTACAAAGCTTGTCAGTGAACGGAGCCCATGTCCTGTACTGTTTAGCGGACATGACATCGCGCCCAAGGGACATCGGCAATAGCGTGTTTCCTACCTTTTTCTTCATTGAGTTCTATCCGCTGTGAAGCAGGTTCATTGAAGTAAGAGATCTCGTGTAGAGCCGCGAATCGGGGTTGAGCGTCGCTCAGGAGAGGTCTACGTAGAAGGTACAGTGGGACTGGGACCGTGTCTCGATGTGATAGATTAGGTATGGATTGGCTATGGCACTGTACAGTACAATTGGTCAAGTGAGATACTCTGAGTTGGGTCTTCTGTCATGGCCACCTTTCCAGGTTCTCTTTCTCAAGATACACATGGATCAATGTTGACAGTGATCCAGCACTGTCGATTCAATCCTCCGTATGCGTGCATTTGATACCGCCCGACGTCTAGGGATTCTTGTCCTCGCTCGGATGCTTGCTGCGGGCCTCACAATCTTCACCGGGCGGAATTGGTGAACCAGGCGGCAATATCAGTCAAAATATGTCAGACCCTCTGGTGGTTTTGCACGTATGCCTGCTTTCACGGTTGCCAGGCCATTCTTGGCCCTCCGTGTTTCTCGAGTTTCCTGTCGGCTAGATACACCATTGGGTTCTGCAGGAACTCAACTGCCGCTGTCGGAGGGTCATGAGTCGTCAGCGGTCCGGGTTTCATAAACTATCGCGCATAACAAGAGGAGAACGAATGTTCCAAAGAGAGCAGCACGAGAACAAACAGATGAAAGCGAGTAGGAAAACCTTACCATTCGCAACCAGCTCCGGCTTTTCCAGAGCCAGGTGAAGCCCCTCATAGTCTACTTCCTCAATGTAGGAGGTAGGAAAGAAAGAGCGGATGGCTTCGGCCCCCTTGACCTCGGGTATGTAGTAGCTATCACGCGAGCGCAGGAACAGCGCCGGCCCGCTGAACCGATTCGCAACGTCCTCCCGGAACGGGAACTCCCCCATCGCTTCGCGGGCCTCCCACAGGATATTCTGCGGGATCCGCGGCCTTACATAGGGGTGATCGTCGTGCTTCTCCAGATTTCGGAGGAGCCAAGGCCGCATCCCTGCCTTCTATTCGGGGAGGTTAGATCAGGGCCATAGACTGGGAGATCAAAGACAGGTAGAAAGAATAGATGGACAATCTCGACGCTCCTGGAGAGCATGGTGGGGTAACTGACCCGATTCCAATAGTACATCACTCTGCGCGCCTCTCGGAGCTCGGTAATGCGCATCTTGAGGATTTGCCGATAGGCGTGGAGCCATTGTAAGTAAACCGGCGGAAGGGGTTTCCAGACCGGCGAGTTGTCGATGGAGACAATATTGGTCACGAGTTTTGGGTCGTAGAGGGCTAGAGTCATGGCTGTCTTGGCTCCCCTGATGGCTGATCGTCAGGAATCATGAAAAGCTAATGTACCCTGTTTCGAAGGGTGAGATGACCCACTGGGAAGGCTTACATCTGATTGCCGACAAGAGACACATTTTTGAGGTTGTTCTCTTGCATAAGTCCTCGGATGTCCAGCGCCAATCTGAGGTAGTCATGTCTCCATTTGGTGCCAGATTCGCCATGGTTACGAAGGTCCTGTTTCCCCGGGCGTCAATTGCCTGGGCATGAAGCTGAATGGCTTATTAAGATCCGGACTTACCAGATTATACACATCTCGCTTGAGTTCCGTGGCTAGAATCCTAGGCGGGGGGTTTTGGTGAGTATCCCGTAACATGTGGAAGAGGAAAAGGCTCAAAGCATTCATACTTGCTAATCGGACGGAGTTCCTCTCTACAGCCGAGGAATCCATGAAGAACTATAATTGGGTTTGGTGAGTCCCCAAGCTTATCAGGATGTCCCTTGTAGACATCGTAAGCTATCTTTGGATTGGGGTTTTTGGCGTCGATACGAATGGACCTCTGGAAGGGCATGAATTTGGAGGACTGTCGGGGCATCGCCAATCTTGACGACGGTGACAGATGTGAGAACATTTTTACAAAGAGCAGCCCTCGCCAGGCGACAAGCACAGAAGTCGATATCAAGTCTCAGGTGGAATCCATGCGAGCTATTTCAGAGCTTCCATGTCTCAGAATCTAGTTTGGTGGTTTGTTGAAGCTTATCGATTGATGGATGGATAGGTTTGTATCTGGTTTGCATCTGGTTTGCATCTGGTTTGCAGCTTCATCGGTCCTGCATGTTCGGATTGCGCTAGGCCATATTTGGCTTAGTGCTTCGGTACTATGAGTAACTGTAGGTATAACATAACTACTGACTACTAGAGCATGCTGAGGTGACAGGTAGGTGCAGCATTCCTTGTACAAGAAGAGAGTTGTTACCTGGATGAGGTAAACGTTTCAAAGGACTACCAGAGGTCATACTTTGAGGTTCCTTACAAATTGTGCCCGAGGAGCTTACGGGAAAACCAACCATTCTATTCTCGCAAGACCCTACTTGTACTTGAGCAAAGTACGCAAGGACCTGCCTGGTTTAGTTGCTCCACCTGATGCGAGATTCTACGTCATCCATGAGATCTTTGAACCTATAGCAGGTGAATTCGATATCTATTGTACTCGGTTAACGAGCCTGTCTGATGCCGGCATGGCAACATCCGTTTTGAGAGCCAAAACGGATTAGACCAGAGGTCAAATGCAGCGGCTTCAACAGGAGCCAAATGAAATCGCAACGGTTAACCGGCACATGAAATCAGAATGAGGATCAAGGCATTGGCGCAAAGACGCCCGCCAGTCCTGCTGATCTCGTCTGCACGGAAGCGACGGCTAGCCCGGACACCGAGTCTTGAATCCATGCTTTGACCACAGACCAAATGCGAGACAAGTCGATATCATCGTCCGGTGGTGGGTAGTAGCTGCTGACAGAGACTAGATCCTTGGCTGGCTGCTGCAATGAGTCTGATACGAGTGGTCACGCTCCTGCTCGTATTGCCTGCTATCTGTGAAACATTGAAGACGATTATCCAATTGAGTTCTGGATGGTTGATTCGAGCTTGGTGTTTACTGCGCACAGAGGGCTGGGATATCGCTGGGGACAATATCCTAGTCAGCAAGGGCTCGCAGAGCGTCTGGATCTGGACGTCGGCTTGTCCTGGATCATGCCTTGCCGAAATGTCAGGATCTGATGCAAACTCAGGCAGGGGCTGGGGGCAATCCTCGAAAGTGGAGGTGGAGCGCCATGTTCGAATTGGTGGAATTTCGCAGACTAAATGAACAGTCAACGGATCTGTGAGCGAATGGTGTCAGTATGGGAAGTACGGAAGGTGCGACGTCGGGGTAGGTTTGGAGGTCTGAGGAGATGATCTCCATGGGCAGGATGGGCAGGATGGGCAGGTGAGAGGCGGACTGAATCTGGGGATGGAATGGAAATTCATGGGGGAGAAATCGGCAATTGGAAGGGACACCTCGATGCCGGACCAGTCGGCAATTGCTTCAAAGCGGAAGAGCCGGGGCAGCTGAGTCACCATTCCCGACAGCTCTCATTGGATTCAACTGTCGAGCTCGCCTCTATAGAGTGGGCACTAAACCCATTTGGAGGTAGCGTGACCCGGAAACCGGTCGCTGGGAAACTCGCGGCGAACTCCCATTATTATTTCTCTCGGTGCTGCAACCCCAGACAGAAACATCATTATTGCATGTATGGAGTATGGAGTATGTTGTTTGCTCCTCTCGAGCCGGGATGAAGATGCACCTGATACTTGGCCATTCAATTGAAAGCTGATCACGGTTCCACATGTTCCTATCCCCCCTCATTTCTCCCCTCTCTCGGTGGCTCTTTCTGCGGAGGCTTGGAGGCTTGAGATGCCAGAGGATCACCACCTGGCCCACCCCTTCATTACCCCCCCTTAGACTATCCGTGACTCTGACTCTTCCCTCTCCGCCCTCTCCGGTCAAAAATGGGGATTGCCAAATGTTGGTTCATCTCCATTCCGCGGTGAATGGCAGGTTTGGTCTGGTGGAGAATGCTCGCCTTGGGGAGATGTCGCGTCCTGCCGCCAATCCCGGCCTCCCCCCAGCCAGACAAAGCTCTCACAAAATAATGGTCATGTTTGACCCAGCTTCGTATAATCCCGCTCTCGGCCGTGATTCCCCAGTGTGTCAAGATCGGAGGAGGTTCGGATCGATGAGGTTTAGGGAAAGAGGTGTTTGTTTGCCATGAAACGCATTCTTATATCAACCGCAACAGCTCCTCCCCATTCCTGACCCTACCCTGTGGCAAACCAATTCGTTGCCCCAGATTTTGTACGGTACCAAATTTGGCTCCTATATCGGATATCGGCGCCTCCAGCCAGCGCAAATTTTTATCAAATTAAATTCTCCTTTTTTTTTTGCCCGTCTTCCTTCCTTCTTGCTTCCTTTCTTTTGCTATCCTTTGTATCAATATCCTAGATAACCATGGCATTTGCGCAGGCCAGGACTCCCCTTGAGGTGATCATCGTTGGGTAGGTTATTCATTCATTTCCCGCTGTCGCGCTGCAATTGCCACTAACATCGTTCAATAGAGCGGGTACGCCAAGATGATTCTTTTGGCAAGAAGATTGCATTGTCGCTGACAGACGTAGGCATTGGCGGCATGGCCGCAGCCCTAACTCTGGGTCTACGAGGACACCAGGTCACGATCCTGGAGTCCGCGCCTAAGGTATGCCAGTATTGATATAGACCTGGTCATGTTGAAGTTTTGCTCTAATAACAAGGCAAAATAGCTTATGGAAGTTGGAGCGGGCATCCAAGTCTCTCCTAACATGCTCCGATTGTTTGATCGTAAGCATCAATTTTGTGGCAGTCGGAATGCCCGAACTGACACAGAACTCTAGGCTGGGGTGTCTCTCCCTCCATTCACGCCAAAGACGTTGCCCTCGAGCACATCCACGTTCGTCGGTGGCAAGACGGCTCGTTACTAGGCACTATGCCCGTTAACAAGACTTACGGTCAACAGGTGGTCATCCACCGCGCGGATCTCCACAACGCACTCATTGACCAAGCGCTGGCGCTGTCAAATGTAGAACTGCGCGTCAACTCCACGGTCACCGATGTTCAATTCGACCAGGCAGCGGTGACGCTCGCGGACGGCACCGTCGTCAAGGGCGACGTTGTCATTGCCGCGGACGGCATCAAATCCGGCATCCGGGGTCAGCTCCTCAACGACTACTCCTGCAAGGCCATCCCCACGGGCGATGCCGCCTACCGGATCATGCTTCCTCGCAGCGCGCTCGAAAGTGATCCCGAGTTGAAGGCCCTGATGGACGAGCCCCAAGCCACGCGTTGGCTCGGCCCCAATCGCCACATCATCGCGTACCCCGTGCGCAACCACGAGCTCTACAATGTCGTGCTGCTGCACCCCGACAGCCACGGCGTCGAAGAGTCCTGGACCACCAAGGGCTCCAAGCAGGCCATGATCGACAACTACCGGGGCTGGGACAGTCGCGTGACGAAGCTCATCGACCTGGTGCCCGACGACGAGGTTCTCGAGTGGAAGCTCTGCCTGCACGCGCCCCTGAAGACCTGGATCCGGGGCAACGTCGCTTTGATCGGCGATGCCTGCCATCCGATGCTGTACGCCCCCCCCCAAGCTACCACACACGTTCCCCTTCCCCACCCAAGTCACTTCACTAACCCCTCAAAACCTAGACCCTACGTCGCCCAAGGCGCCGCGCAAGCCGTCGAGGACGCCGCCGCGCTCGGCATCCTTCTCTCCACCATCCCCTCGCGCGCCGCCATCCCCGCCGCCCTGCGCGCCTACGAGCAATCGCGCAAATCCCGCGCCGAGACCGTGCAGCAGTCCGGCTCCGAGAACCGCATCACCCTGCACTTCCCTGACGGGCCCGACCAGATCGCCCGCGACGCACAGTTCCGGACCGCGCTGACCAGCGGCTCCAACCCCGATCGCTGGTCCGATCGCGAAACCCAGAGACGTCTCTGGGGGTGGGATGCCGAGAAAGCCGCCCTGGACGTGTGGAATGGTAAGCTTCTCCCGCTCACACCAAATCCCTCTCCCGCGAAGGAACCACCGAACAAGGGCACACTAACATCCCGTGAATAGAAATGCATGGCGACGCCGTCTCGGAAGTCCGTCACCATCTCTAAGCCTTTGCCTTCACACAAACTCCAACCCTTAACGTTTCATCGATTTCCCCCTCATCTCCTGTCTCAGGATATGACGTGAAAGCTTTTTTTCAACCACGGATGATACCTAATGTCTTCAACGGCCTTACTCTTAATGATTCAACCTCGTTCTTCTCTTTTTCTCATCGACGATTTGGATTTTTTCTTATATCAGCGCCTTTTCATCTGGATTCTTAGCGACTTCAACTCAACTTGATTTGTCGTATACCCCCCTTTGTTCCTTCTTGTTTCATTTATGTGGGTTTTGTGGGCTTGAAGGATGTGTTGGGCTCGGCTCTGGGGGTGGATGTTTTGTATATAGACTTCATGTGTGGCTTATAGATTTGCTGTGTTTTAGTGGCTGGCTTAAATTATTCTGGTGCAGCGAGTCAGTACATCGTAGTATTACATCTGTGTCAAGTGATTGCCCGGCGCGGTGTGTGGTTAGACATCTCCAGGATGAGTCGTTGAATGGCAGTGCCATTGTACTAAGCTGTCGCTCAGAAAGACAAACAGCGCATATTATTAATATACTCTAATGCTCTATCATGACTATACTTATATTCAACACAGCCAACCACTACGGTAGATGGCAGGACTAAGAATATACACAACAACCCCCGCCGGACACTGGATGTCTGATCACCGACAACCTCACCAAATCCGCTTGGCGACCATCTCATACCGCTGCACGTGATCCAGATGCAGCTCCTCCTTGCCACCACCAGCCTTCGCGTCCTTCTCCTCCTTCGCTTTGAGTCTCCGCAGACCGTCCGGGTCATCAGCGTAGATCCACCGTCGGTGATCGTCGTTCACCTCGACGACGCCCCAGCCGCCGACTCGACGGCTCCCCTCGACAGCGAATTCGCGGGGGCGGGGCTGTGCTGCTGCTGCTGGCGCGGCAGCCGGGGCGGTGGTTCCTGAGGGAGCGGGATCGGTTGTAGTAGTGGCTGTGGGCCCTGATCCGCCGGCCGTGGAGGAGGTTGAGGCCGGGACGGCGGTGGGGTGGCTTTGCTGTTCTGCCTCGCGCAGTTTCATGGCCTTGTACCGGGAGCGGGCGAGCGCGAGCAGGAGCATGCCGAGCAGTAACTTGAGGATCAGGAGGACAACGTAGCCGGTCAGGATGAGGACGACGGTGAAGATGTAGACGGATGAGGCCGGGGTGGGCATGGTGTTGGCGAGCATCTGGCGGAACCATGCCCCAGCGTAGGCGGTTGAGGTGGGGATGAAATTCTGGAAGGTGAGCGGGGGAGGGGAGGGCATGGGCGCGGGGACGTATTGACTGTGGATGGCCGTGAGTGAGGTGGCTTCGACCGCGGTGGACGAGGTGGGCTGCTGGGGGAGTAAGGCAGCGATGAACATCTGGTAGGTCTGGACGCTGACGCGGAAGAAGAGGCAGGATAGTGGGATCACGGGCAGTCCGAGCCGGCGCATGAGGTTTTGGTCCGCGAACGCATTCGTGTAGTAGTCCTTGGCCAAAATGTCCAGGAAGCGACCGTAGATGGCCGGACGGGTGTTGTTGAACTTGTTGATGTACGCGTGCTTGAGCCAGTCGACTAGCATCTCCGAGCCCAAGACGACGAGGAAGGGTCCTAGGACTTGCGCCAGCGTCGGAAGGTAGGAATTGGCTTGGCTGAAGGAGGCAATGATAGATGACGGGACGATTGTGAAGGCCTGCGGGAGGATCGAGGATGCAGTTCGTGGTGGAGTCGACAGCGGCGTGCTGTTGGTGCTGGTTGAAGTGAAGCTAGAACCCAACCCACTGAAGATATTGAATGCCCCAGTTTCCACAATGTTGCGCGATGCGATGATCGTCAGCATGAGCCAGAGTTGAAAGCGTTCTACCACGTCCGCGCAGGTGAGCTGGAAGAGGTTCTCCTTTTCGAATTTTTTGAAGACCGTGGACTTGATCTCGACAAATTGATTGGAGAGCAACAGGGTGATCAGCGCATTGGAGTAAGAGTTCACCGCAACGTTCAGCGTCATCACCTGATAGAACAGTGCTGTCGAATGGATGACTGTATAGCCTAACGCTAGCAAGAAGAGCCCAAACGGCCGGAAGACCTTGCTGCGGCCGTCGGGTCGCCGCTCCAGCGCTTCACGCGAGAATAGGCACTCAAGCACGTCCTGACCGATGGCGCCAAACAGTCGATCGCTGACTTCTAGCACATTGTAGATCACGTACAACTTGATGGCTGCCTGTCCGCGAATCCAGTGGTACATCCGGCTCGCATCGAAGCGCATCAGAACGCAGCAGGTAGCGATCATGAGCAATCCCTTGAGGATGTCGGCCTTGTCGTCTGGCATTAGGGCTGACGGGATACTCTTCTGCCGCCGATGCTGCGCTCGGTGACCATGAGATCGGTGCCTTTTTCGAGACTCGGTTGCCTTGGCGCGGGAATCTCGTTCCCCGGGTGCTGTTTCGCCCTTGTGTGTGCGTCCCGCGTCGGAGCCACGCGGTGGCTCGTCGATAGATACGGTCCTGTTACGCCTGCGCCATACCCGGCCCACGCCTTTGATCACAAAACCAGACACGTACCGAAACTCCACACCCAAGTTTAGAATCCATGACTCAACGAGTATGTACAAAGCCTTCAGAAACCGGAGCGGAAGAATGGTAAAAGAATGCAACCACGCATCCAGACATGCCAATATACCGAACCAGAGTACCTGCTCTACCGCCGGCGGCAGCATCAAGAAATTCATGAGTCTTTCAAGCTTGACTCGAGAAGACTCGTAAGGGAAGTCGGTCATTGCAGAACGGTGAATGTACAGCGGTGAGGGGCGGCCCGATGCCAGCTCTAACTGGAGGTAAGTTGGAACGGATAGAGGCGGCAGAGGGATGTTCGGGGGCATCGGTGAAGGCAAGGCCTGTTCTTTCATCTGTGGGGAAGGTTCAAGGTGTTTCGAATCCGATTCCCGAGTGATCGAAAGGCGATCTTGTTTTGTGCGAGACGCCCATGTCTGAGCCAGTCTGTCATTCGTCGCCAACAAGGTCTGTCGGCGTGAGCTAGGTGTTGACACCGCCTGTGAGTTTAGTGGTCGATTTCGCGAAGAGGATGACGCAGGTGTTCTCCCAGTCGAGACGGTCGAGGTGTCGATGGAAAGATCTTTGGACAGATGGAGTTTAGGTAGAGTATCGGATGTCAATTTAGGTTCATCCACAGACGGCAGGCTTGTGGGCTCTGGCGTTTCAAACTGCGCAGCTACTGCATGCGTTCCATCCGATACTGCCCGTCGTCCGCGTTCTGATTGCTCCGGTGGCGCTGCACGATACGGGATAGACTGCGGTGAGGATGTGAGTTCCTGCATCTTGGCGGGAGATAATTTCAGCACGCGGTCTGGGTCCTTGTCGTGGTTCCTGGAAGGCGATGTGTCTCGCGACCACTCGGTGAGCGTTGATTGCACTGCAGAGCCTTCGAAGACATCCACTAGGGATGTTCTCGAAGTCGTGCGACGGCCTGGGGTTCGAGGGGGCTCCTCCGAGTGTTCAAATACCATCCCTAGCACTTGATCCGACGCCAGCGCGAACTGACCGCTTTTCCGGTCGACGCAGGGAGTATGGTGGCTGGGGATTCCGTTAGAATCGTGTTCAGAGCTGTCACCGACTCCATCTGGCAGCAAGTTGGCCCTAGAATTAATCCGGTTGGCGTAAGTCGCTGTAGCGTCCGGCGCCGGCGTTTGTCCGCATTGCGCATCGGAGCCCACCACGGGCCGTTCGTCAGTCTCCACGGGTTGATTCACACCACTCGAGACTGTTGGTCGCTTTGTTTTGGGTGACTTTGGGCTTTGGATTCCAGCGGCCAATGCACCATCAGCGTCTGGGCTTTGTGGTGTTGCTGGTGTCCATTCCTGCTGAGACGAGCCTGTCGCCTCGCCGTTAACGAACTCCCGCCCTCGCTCGTTGTGACTTTCACGCATGCCGTCTATATTGGCTACCGTTCTTGGCGAGTCATTGCGTATAGATCTTGAATCAGCCGCTATATCTGCGTCGTCTTCTGTGCGGAGCATTGAGGAAACCAGGGTCGCAATCGAGGAAGGCAAGGACACGATGTCAGCGGTAGCGCTCCGTGCGCAATGCAATCGGTCAACCGTGCTTTTAAGGAGGGTTCAACTTCATTTCGGGGTCAGATAGTCCAGTGCAAAGTCGCTGTTACAGCCTACGAGGCAGGCCAAGGGTTGCGACCGTTGATAATGAGGATAAAGCGAGTCAGGGTCTTTGCTGAATGACTGAATGAAAGAGCAAGCCAAGGGAGAGCAAAAGCCCGGGGACAATCATGAGGCGGTCAACAAAGCGGTGGGGTGGGCCGGCTGTCATTGTAGCCCATGACTAAGCAGGGTCTTACTTCCCCACAGTCTTGGTCTTGTCTTGACTGATCGTTCTCTTCTACAAATCAATCACTCACGTTTCCTGGTGTTCCCTCTGCTCAATTGATCTTAGATTGGATGTTTGTCTGATCTCATGAATGGTTATGAGCCCTGATCTCAAACATAATTTGTTGTGTTATGCTCTCACTATCAAAGTCCTGAGTCCCCACCTCCGATACTAACTACCGATCTTGATAAATAACCACCACCAATTCGACTCCTTCAAGGTGCCATCCATGCCATGCTGCTCCAGCCAGCAATTCAAACCATGCGATCCCTTAAATTGTGAGAACCACAAGCGACACTATACAATTAGCTGTCAAGACCCGCTCACCTCAGCTTCTATAGTAAATAGCCGAGGGAGGCGTTTCCTGTGTCTGTCCCTGAGCAGGAGTTAACAGTGACGCTAGTCACCTCGCCATCGACGGCAAGCATGGCGTGCTCCTCCACCACAATCACCTTCTCCCACCCTGGTTCTGCCCTGTCATTTGCAGCCATCAACCATGAGAAGGCTTGGGCCACGAGCTCCTCCGATCCAGGGCGTGGCCATGTGGGTACCAATCCAGTGAATTCTGTTTTTCTCCCCCGATGGTGTCATCGGCTCTTCCGGATAGTTAATGATGGCCAGCCAATACTGGCGCGCGATGGTCATGAAGGCCTGGACATCTTGCGATAAGCGAACTTTTTATCACGTAGCTCCGCATGTCATTTAATGAAGGCGCGCTCGAAATGACTCTTCCGGGTTGAAGGACTTTTATTCTACGCGAGCAGTCGTCCCCTCTTCTTCCTCACTCTCCCCCTTGACGCAGCTCCAAGCAAGGACTTGCTTCACTATCGACCTGAGATTCTCCTCGTACGAGCACAGCCTGGCTAGTTTTGGCAACGATGACGATTGCATCGGCCAGCTCAGAGACCTTGAGGGCGGATAGGAATGTGGATGAGACCACCCCCCTGAATCCAGCAGCTTTGGATACAAATGTCACGAATGTATCGAATTACCAAACTGTCTCCAAGGGGCCAACAAGTGATGTTCAAAGTAGCCATGACACGGACGAAGAACGTCCGCTAGTCAGTCCAGCAGAGTCCTCGGAGAACAACAAAGTGCAGGCGTTGGCTAGCGTCAAGACAATTATCGCTGTTTTACTACTGGGTATGGATGAACGACTGGTTTGATCATGATCTCGACCGACGCTGACCTTGAGTAGGTGAATTCATCTCCAATGCAGACACCACTCTCGTTATGGCTACGACAGGGAAGATCTCGTCCGAATTCGATCGTTTGCGTGATGCCAGCTGGCTGGCCACGGCTTTCACGCTCGGTCTCTGCGCGGCACAACCCATGGTGAGCTAACATGGAATTTCTATGGCTTCGATTGATGCGCTGACAGCTGTGGCCTGCTAGTACGGAAAGTTGAGCGATATCTATGGCCGCAAGCCGCTGTTGCTCTGGGCGTACTTTTTCTTCGGCCTCGGATGTATCATTAGGTGAGTGCTACGTCCCTTGCAACCACGTTTAGGAGAATCGCTCTGACCCAAGTCATTCTAGTGGGATCGGTTCGAGCATGTTAACTGTGATTCTGGGGCGTGCCATCAGTGGCTTGGGCGGTGCTGGAACAATGGCGATGGGTGTGATTATCATTACAGGTGGGATGGACAACGTCATAGCCAACTTTGATCACGGTTGCTAAACGCCTCGCAGATATTGTTCCCCGGCGAGATGTGGCCCATTGGCGTGCGTATGTCAACATCGCCATGACCCTGGGTCGAAGCGCAGGAGGTCCGATTGGTGGATGGCTAGCAGATACCGTTGGTTGGCGATGGTGAGTGAGCATTGCAGTCTAACACTTGATTCCGTTCCGCAGCCTGACTGTTTGACAGGTCATTCCTTCTTCAGGGCCCTCTCACTGTGTTGGCTGCCTTGCTCGTCGTATGGAAGCTCAAGCTTACCACCCCAACCACAAACAAGGATATTCGCAGGGTCGACTTCCTTGGGACGTCTCTCCTCGCCGTTGGTATCATCACCACGACCCTCATTCTCGATCAAGCTGGAAAGGCCTTTGCTTGGGTCTCTCTTACTACTGCTTATCTTGGCACCACTAGCGTGGCTGCATTCGTTTCGTTCATTATTGTCGAGCTTCATGTGGCTCCAGAGCCCATCTTCGATCTGCGCATCTTGCGCCGCACCAACGTGCTTCCCAGTTATCTCATCGGAGCTCTGCAAATCACCGCGCAGGTTGGTATGATGTTCTCAGTGCCCTTATACTTCCAGGTCACATCTCGCGCCTCGGCCACAGTCGCGGGCGGGCATCTTGTTCCTGCAGTGATTGGCAATACGCTGGGTGGCTTGATCGCCGGTGCCTCCATCCGACGAACAGGCCAGTTCAAGGTCTTCTTGATCGTGGCTGGGCTAGTTGCATCGGTCACTTACCTCCTGCTTTTCCTCCGGTGGAATGGTCACACGGGCTTCTGGGAATCATTGTATATCATTCCGGGCGGGATGGGAACTGGCTTCGCGTCGGCTGCGGCCTTTGTTAGTATGACTACCTTCCTTGTGCCTCAGGAGATTGCCATGGCCACTGGAGGCTACTTTCTGCTGTTCAACTTCGCGATGACTGCTGGTGTGACTGTCACGAACAGTGTGCTGGGGACCGTCTTCAAGCACCAGCTGGAGCAGAATCTAACAGGGCCCGGAGCAAAGAAGGTAATTGGGCCAATGCGCATCCTGTACTGCGTGATTTTCATTTATGCTGATTCGTTGCCTGCAGATGATCGAACGGGCTCTATCTGATACAGATTACATCAATGGGCTCAGTGGACATGTTCACGATATTGTGGTCCGCGGGTACGTTACGGGCCTCAAATACACATACTGTAAGTTGCAATGGCGGACCAATCTTTGTCTTACATACTTACCGTGTCTCTTCTAGTGTTTGCTCTGTCTCTTTCGCTGCTCGGGTCGTTGGTGGGCTGGACAGTCCGAAAGCATCAATTGTAAAAACGATACACTCAGTTGAACGCAGGCACTGGAAAGCCTCGGATATATGTAGAAAAAGTGCTAAGCCTGGTTTGCACTGGATTAGAATGAATCAAGGACCTGTTAGACTGTTAAGAGGTAACTAGGTGAAAGCAGTAGGCACCATCCGTGACCAAAGCCAACATAGACTGGCAGTCAAGACAGAAAATGCCTCAGAGCCCAAAGACGCTAGAGCTTGATGTCACCCCACAGCTGTTCGCAATTGAATGCGGGGTGGTTTGATTTTGTTTAATAAAATTAGGCTTCTTCCAAAGTGCCGAGGCTTGGGCCGCTTCTTCCTTCTTTCTCTCTGCAACCTTTCATTTCATTTCGCTTCCTCCGCATCCCTTGCCCCCCCCTAATTCGCTCAACACCCCCGGCCATCCCTCTTCTGCAGACAAGGCAATCTCCATCTGGACAATAGCGGGCGTTCTGCAGCCAATCTCTTGATATTTCGCACCTGCATGATCGGACATAAGACCACTTCCTGGATGTGATTCATTGGCTAGCTTGTGCTTCGGCTGCAGAAATCCTGCTCGATCGGAGCTTGAACCAATCAACTCGCCCGCATAAGACCGTTCCTGGCAGGCAACGATGCAAGAAAACAGCAGATCATAGGCGAGAAGAGGAAAATACCGAGACTGCAGAAAGTCATCCGGTCATCCGTCCGTCTCGCAACTGAGAATAAGGCCCAAGCTGCTTTGAGGCACGGGAAATGACATATAAGATGGAATTGCCGAAGCCAACCATGCCGTGGCTGACCACCAGCCCCTGAGTCTTCACTCGCAGTCACCTGCAAAGATGAGGTTTTCGGCGCTTCAGACCCTTGTATCTCTGCCTCTCTTTGGCAATCTCGTTCGCGGCCTGTCTGCAGCAGAATGGCGGACTCAGTCCATCTATTTTCTTCTGACGGATCGGTTCGGCAGGACTGATAATTCGACAACTGCGACATGCAATACAGGGGATCAGGTATGTCTGGGCCATACGGCTACTACTACGAGCCATTTCTGACCTCGCTAGGTCTATTGTGGTGGAACATGGCAGGGAATCATCAACCACGTAAGCCACTCCGCAACGCACAGTTTCGACAGGAGGGATCTAACTTGCTCACGCAGCTGGATTATATCCAAGGCATGGGCTTCACAGCTATCTGGATCTCGCCCGTCACCGAGCAGCTGTCAGCCAATACTGCGGATGGCGAGTCCTATCATGGATACTGGCAACAGAAGATGTAAGGCACTCTGTAGCCCATGACTTGCACACCATAATTGACCGAGAGGGGCAGCTATTCGTTGAACTCCAACTTCGGCACCGCAGATGACTTGAAAGCTCTGTCTGCTGCCTTGCATGAACGGGACATGTATCTCATGGTTGACGTAGTGCCAAACCACATGGTAGGGTTGTCTCCTCCAAGGTCGGGCACCCAACTGACCGGAATCTAGGGTTATGCTGGCTCAGGAGATAGCGTAGACTACAGCGTCTTTGATGCCTTCGACTCCTCGTCGTACTTTCACCCGTACTGCCTCATTACCGATTGGGATAATATCGATCAGGTCCGGACCTGCTGGGAAGGCGATACGATCGTCTCTCTGCCTGATCTGTACACGACGCAGTCGGACGTCAGGACGATCTGGTACGATTGGATTGAGCAACTTGTCGCCAACTACTCGAGTACGATCTCCATGTCACCTGACTTTATCAGGACCATCTACTGACTCCAACTGCGCAGTTGACGGTCTTCGCATCGACAGTGCTCTCGAAGTCGAACCAGACTTCTTCACGGGATACGTCAGCGCGGCAGGCGTGTACAGCGTTGGCGAGATCTTTAACGGCGACCCTGCCACTGCCTGTCCGTATCAGGGATACCTGGATGGCGTCTTGAACTATCCGATGTGAGTTCGACTCTGCGCAGTGCAGTCCACAAGAAAGCAGGCACTAAACACGGAAACCAGCTACTTCCAACTACTCTACGCCTTCGAGTCCAGCAGCGGCAGCATCAGCGACCTGTACAACATGATCAACTCGGTAGCCAGCGACTGCTCCGATCCCACGCTCCTTGGCAACTTCATCGAGAACCACGACAACGCCCGCTTTGCCTAGTGAGTACAGCGTCGAACCTTTCTGGGTGCTACTTACTAACCGAGAAATCAGCTATACAAGCGACTACTCGCAAGCCAAGAACGTGCTCTCATTCCTATTCCTCTCCGACGGCATTCCCATCGTCTACGCCGGCGAAGAGCAGCACTACTCGGGCTCCGGGGTACCCTACAACCGCGAAGCGACCTGGCTATCGGGCTACTCGACGACGGCGGAGCTATACCAGTGGATTTCGACGACCAACGCCATCCGCAAGCTGGCCATCTCGCTAGACAGCAACTATATCACCTACAAGGTACGTACCGGACAGCACCCCCCTCCCCAAAACTACAAGCCACTAACTTTCTTCCTAGAACAACCCCTTCTACACAGACAGCAACACGATCGCCATGCGCAAAGGCAGCGACAACCTGCAAGTAATCACCATCCTCTCCAACCACGGCAGCACCAGCAGCAGCTACACCCTGACCCTAACAGGCACCGGCTACGCCGCCGGCACCACGCTCATGGAAGCCTACACCTGCACGACCCTCACCGTCTCCTCCAGCGGCAGCATCGCCGTCCCCATGGCCTCCGGCCTTCCGCGAGTCTACCTCCCAGCCTCCTCAATCAACAAAAGCAATCTCTGCGGTGGTGGCACCTCCACAACCACCGCCACAACCACCCTCAAAACCACCACCACAACTACTTCCACAAAAACAACAACAACCACCACCACCTGCACAGCAACAACAACCTCCCTCCCCATAACCTTCATCGAACTCGTAACCACCACCTACGGCGAGGAGGTCTACCTAACCGGCTCCATCGCCGCGCTGGGCAACTGGGCCACCACAGCAAGCGGGAGAATCGCCCTCAGCGCGGCGAATTACTCCGCGTCGTATCCGGAGTGGTCCGCCACCGTGTCGGTGCCCGTGGGCACGAGCTTCGAGTACAAGTTCTTCAAGGTGGGCAGCGACGGGAGCACGATCACGTGGGAGAGTGATCCCAATCGCGTGTACACGGTGACGGCGACGGCGTGCGCGGGGGCCACGGCTACGGTTGTGGATAGTTGGCGGTAGTAGGTTTGGGACCTCGTTTTGGGGAGGAGCTTGTTTGTCGGAAGGGGACTTGGTTGGGGGGTTATTGGTGATGCATGTGGTAGGTAGGTTCAAGAGGTGCGGTGGGTTGGGGAGTATTTGCTCCTTGCTGCTTGGGGCCTGGGGACTTTTTATATTGAGTCGTGGAGGGGAAGAGTAAGCCTCTTGAGTTATCATATGCTTCATAATGGATTCTACTTGCGTCTATGCGTTCTATGGTCTTCATTTCTCTTTCTATGTTTATTCTCAAGGGAAGAGAGAGAGATTAGAGGTAGTTACTGTATTGGACGTGGCATTTTCAAGAATGTAAACTATGTAGAGCTTCGCTGCGTCTCGAGCTCAAGTGAAGAGTTTTGATTCGGGTAAGGTACTCAAGGGTAGTAAAGGTATAACTATCATCAAACACGTAAATTCACGGGGTAGACGAGTCTCCGTGGTTCGTAGATTGGATCTTGAAGAAGGCTTAAGGCAGGCGATTATGTAGTTGGACTGTGCAGTTCGGAGAAGAGAGAAGAGAGTGACCGGGGTGGAAGATTAAAGGAGTAGGGTGCTCGGTATTTCTCAGATGAGAGATGTGGAATGCGGAGGTCTTATGGGAGAAGATGGCTAGAAGTGCTGTTGTTGGTTGGGACGGTATGGCTGTACCGAAGGGGAGTAGGCCCGTTCGGTGGGTTGGGATGCTGGAGAGTATGGGGTGGAGAAATAAGCGTGCACGGCGGGAGGGGGTTGTGTGGTCGGAGCATAGGCTTCTGCCGGAGAGGACATGGCATGTGTGGTGGTGGGAGTGAACATCTGGGCTGTCGAATGCGCTGTCGCCGGGGAATACGCCTCAGTGGAAGACATGGCGTGGGTGACTGGAGAAAAGGCTACATAGCCGTGCTCCGGGGGCACAGTCGTCTCCGGCATGTCGTTCTCCGGCTGTGGAGGTTCGAGGTGGGAATCGTGGTGTCGGCGCTCGTGCTTGGGATCGGATACGGCGGCATGCGATTCCTCGAATGGGTTGAATGCCGTGTAGCCTTCATGGCTCGTGGAGCTGATCGGGGAGATGGCTTCCATAGCTGTAGCAGGCCGTTGTCCAGCGTAGTAGTTATAGATGTGTTCGTGGCCTTGATCGTGCTGGTGTTCGTGGCCGTAAGGTTCGTGTTCTGACAGGTGTCTATTGTCAGGATCATGATGCGAGTCTGTGGCCGATGGGTTGAAGGCAATGTAATCGTCGGCGTTATGCGAGGCCTCATGCGAGCCAGCAGGGGAGGCTCTGTCTATGTGGTCAATAGCATGGGGCTCGTCGTGGTCCTCGTCGTGGTGCTCAGCGTGGTGGTCGAAGTGCTCGTCATGGCTGTGATGGTCGTCCAAAGGCGAATTGATGTTGGCGGAGGGATTGAACGCGACATAGCCAGTATCTTGATCATGTCTCGTCTGATGTGCGTCAACCGGGTCAATGGCACCCAATGCCAGGTCATCTTCATGCTGGCCATAACCGCCGTTGTCTCCATTATGTCCGGAAGCAATATTGCCAGCGAGTGGCATGGGAGAGCTCCTTTCGGCTGGGCTGAACGCAGTATAAGTGTTCGCAGTCCCTGCACCGATCGGAGTCGTCGTTCTTGTCTCCCAGGTTTCAGCCGGGTTAATAGGCGGTGGAGACCTCGTATTGCCAGGACCAGCTGGTGTGAATGACCGTCCAGGGTATTCATGATCCCCCACAGGATAAGGAGTGCCACTCAGCTGATTTGCGGAAGAGAACGGCTGATTTGGCATGTCCTCGACAGGGGAACGAATTGCACCGGGTGTCAATGCTCGTGCGTTCGGTCCAGTTGCTGGGCTGTAGGAACGGAAAGGAGTACTTGACTGTGAGTAGTAGGCCTCCTGGTTTGCGAACGGATTGTACCCTTCGCCAGGATCCTGCTGCTGGGTCGCATACGGCATGTGGCTATGGTCAGGCATGGCAGACGGCGGTGCCGGTGTGTAATTGGATCGAGACATAGGTGTCTGAATGCGTGGCATAGATGGTGCAGGTGACGCTCGATCCATTCCCCTATACCCTGGAGCAGGAGGCGGGGGAGTGAAGTTCTGACGCGACATGGGAGTGTGGGACCGAGGCATTGCTGGGGCCTGTTGCTGAGGAGCAGGCGTACGGGTTGATCGCGACATAGGGGTCTGGCTGCGCGGATCAATTGGCTCTCCATACCCCTGAGCCGGAGGCGCCTGGTTGAAGTTCTGGCGTGGCCTCGGAGTCTGGGACAGCGGCATCGGGGCAGGCCCTTGCTGAGGAAGAGGCGGTACTGGAGGCGCCGGAGTTCCATGTCGATCAAGAGGGCTATATGTAGACACGGCAGTACTACCGGACATAGAAGCAGCATCTGAAAAGGAAGACTGAGTCACCGTGCGGCTAAGTGCTGGGGGCTTATCATCGAACGTGGACAAGTCGGGAAGAGTTGGTTTGCGGTCTGGGGCAGCTGTGCCGGGGCGAGACGAGTATACTGGCAACGTCGTTTGCGTGGTGCTCCGCGAGATAGTCGTGACTATCGGCGTCTTATCATCATCGTGCATGCCAACTGTCGGCAAAGTCGGCTTCCTATCGATACCCATGTTGGGTTGGGTGGGCTTCCGATCCTGGAGGGCCACGCCTTTGGCCAGTGCCTTGTTGACCTTCTTCCGAACAATCTGCGTCAACCGCGAATTGATCTTGCGCTTGCAGTACCTCTTCAACGATCCATCTTCCGTGGGAATGTGGTGCCAGAGGAACAGCAAGTAGAGCACAACGGCCAGCAGCAGCTTGAGCATCGACAAGACCCAAATGACCAGAGTGAAGATCATGCCGACCAGGACAATGGCCTGCCGCGTATTATCTTCCGCCAGGACCTTGATGTTGTGAAACAGCTGAGAAGCAGTAGACCCATCCGTACTATCCGTATTACTGCCTCCCGGGAGCAAATCCATCTGCATGACCGAGTAGAGAGTGATAGCGTTGACAACCTGTCGCGGGCCATCGGCGAAGATTGTACTCATCCACGCTAGAGCAAAGTCAGCCCCTCAATCCTCGACCCAGCAAAAAGACACATGGACTCACATTCAAACGAAAAATAAGCAAAGAGCGCGACGTACTCCGCGCCCTTTCGACTCTTAGTCAACTCCGCGAAGACCAAGAAGCGCCTCCACCCACGACCATTCTGACCCATGCGGATACTCTGGATGCGCACCGCGAGCGAATCCAGATAGCTGTGGGCGATGCTCCCCGAGCGCATCGCGCGAATGGCGCGCAACCAGCGGTAGATCAGCAGGGCGAACGAGACGATAATGCAGACGGCGAAGATCCAGCGCGAGACCTTGAAGGGGATCGCAGGCTCAATTGAGCCCGCCCACCGCGAGAAGGCCAACAGATTGACGGCCGTAAAGGTGTCCACCCCGTAGACCGCCACCGAGACCAACAGAAACACATAAATCAGGAAGTACGAGAATCCCGACCAGCAGGATTCGGACTTGAAATCACTCAGGTTGATATAATCCCATTGTTCCTCCAAGGCCACGGGCCCTTTCTCGCGATCGCCCGAACAGAACATTATACACGATGAACCACGACGTGTGGGAAGTAGAAATAATCTGCTGATTAAAAAAGAGAGAATGTGTCGTGTGAATTTGGGACTTTCGTCGGACCAGCCGGGGAAAGTCAGTCACACGTCGCAGGCGTAGGCGACGTAAGAATGATTGGAGAGGTTTTTTTCTAGTCAGGGTCGGTCGGTCTCGACAATGGTTTTGTATGCGCCGACGAAGTTCAAAAAGAGCGACGGAGATGGGGAGGGGGACGAAGATGGCGGCAAGTCGCGTCAACAGCGCATAGCCGCTGGACAATGGGTGGATGTGTTAATCGACATGGACGAATCGTGCCTGAGCCATTAAAAGCCCGTCGGTGATATGAGGATAGCGCTGAAACGACAACGTGCGGCGGCGGCGGCAGTAGCAGCAGCTGTCAGCGTAGCGGTAACGTTGCCAAGATAGGGGAAACAGTGTTGGGCGCGTGCAATTGAGGTGGTTTCTCACCACATACAAGCGGACAGAGAGTGTGTGGGAAAAATCCGATAGCAGACAGCAGGAAACAGAGGAACAGAGGGTTAACTAGCTCTTCCCAAGCGCAATATCCACCTCCACCACCCAAGCGAGAGACACTCGGGGGTCGGGGGAACAGGAATCGCATGAGTAGTGAGTACACAGTACGTAGAAACTAGAAAGAATGTGGAGAATTGGCCGTCAGGAATGGGGG